TAAGATTTATGTACGCATAAATCGTCTAAGATTTTGTATTTTCTTTAATTGTAAGTACTTCAAGTTTCAGTTGATCAGTCCTTCTTAACATTAAATTAAATTAAACAGACTTCTATTGCGTAATTGACTTTATTTTAAATAGTGTTTAGCAGATAAATATAACAAATGGATTTTGTACTAAATAAAGTTCCTCAACTGAATGCACCTGTATTATAGTACTGCAGTTCATAATGAAACTCACTAGTTCGAGAGATTATTCTCTTACATTTCATGATATGCATTCAATCTTTACAGTTTTCATAGGAGTATAAACATTAGAACACAAGTACTATTCAATTAAATTTGACTTTTTAACGATCCTCAACTACGAAAGCAATCATAATTATATTTATTACCAAACTGTACTCAAATTCTTTTCTATTTATGTAAGAATTCATTGATGAGAATACAAACCGAACATACACATATTTTTAGTCAAAACCTTCCAAGTAGTAAACTTTCATCTATACTTATTGACGGATTCAGAAATGGGATGGAAAAATTACTCTTAAAATTGGTCATTTTGAATAACTTAAAATAGACCACTTCGTTTGTTCCAACCGTGTAGAATAATTCAAGGTTAATTGTTTAAGCTCATAGCCAACTTATAGTATGGAAACGTCCTTTCCTTTGAATTTTACAAATAATTTTATATAATACTATACTCCAGTCAATCACGCCTGTAATTCATGTTTCATAAATGAAATTAATAACTTTGGGTGTATCATATTTTTGTTCAATATCCAATATCTATTAAGTTCATCAAAGTAAGGCTTTGTTATGATAATAATAATAATAATAACTCGATAATAGATTTGAATATACATGTGCTCTGACTTCTAACGTGTTTAGTAAAGATTCTTTTTGAACACTGTGTAATCATATAAAAACTGACATAGCGAACAGTGGCTTAGTCTATGGAAGTGTTATAGACACATGAAATTGATTGTCTGTGACATCCTATTACATTTCAAGAAGGAATAATTATATTCTTATTCTATTATCCCCCCCCTCATATTACTACGTGACCTTATTTGATAATTGAAGTTTCGTATCAATTTATGATGCATCCTATTCTATCCTTCTATGGATATATATTTACTATACAACCATAAATAGGAATTTACAGTTTAAGTAAATGGTTTCGTCGAAAAGAAACATTTCTTCGTTGAATTCTCTTTATTATTATTTTTATTCAATGACACAATGCGTTATTATGATTATATGACTTAAGTCTGTTAGTTATACATAGTTAATTGTACTTTTGTTGATTGATTGACGTTAAATACTACTCAGTTCAATTCATACAAATCTGACTGTAAGTCAATCGTATAGAAAAGTGATGTAACCTTTTTAATCACTTTTGATTACGTCCCAGAGTCAAATAAACTCTTGTTACGGATCTTTGCCTTTTACTACACGTAGTAAGATTTGACGGTCCCAGTACAAAGCATAATCTAATTAAGCACTCCCCAGACACAACAATGAGAGATATAAGACTAACAAACCTGTATGAATGATAATAAGCTTCTATTCATTACAAATCGTCTCACAAAATAACTTAATGAATTCGTTCTAATAATTAGTAAGCACTGAGGTATTTAGTACTGATGAACGATGAACATATTAGTAGTATGCTCAACTTGTTATACACTAAAGTTTCATTTTATTAGATATTGTTGAAATAATTCATTATAGAAAGTATTTTGTATAAGTGTAATAAATGATAAGGTTTAGGACTAATCATTTCGTAAAGAACATGGGATTATCGTTAGTATGATCCCTATTTAGACAGTTGAATCCACAAGTCGATCTAAGCTAGAAAACCATTAGAAACCTGAATGCAATGGATGGCCGTCCCGTCCTAATATGGGACCCTCTAGCAGTGTACACCCACAGCCCCGCACGCGAGACCCCAACCCGGGACCTTCGGTCTCACGAGCGAACGCTTAACCTTTAGACCACCGAACTGACATCTATAAATGTTAATATTTAACTTCAATCGATCCATGATCTTGCGCATCCATTGTCTGAGGTGGATAAATATCTCACACGCGACACAGATTGGACTCCAGCTGTCACAGCTTCTCACTAGAACTCCAGGAGATCTATTTTGATTGTTATACTAGATTTTATAGTGTACATAATAAACAATATGATAGTATATTTTGATGTGGTTCTACAAAGGTTAGATGTAAGAGGTCAGGAGTTCCATTCTTGAACATCATGCATAAACTACTGTTATTTTCACTTCATTGATTTTGAATTCATATATATCCCACTCCCGTTTATTATTTCTTATATCGCTGTGATCTTATTCAATTGTTTCTCACATCATTGATTTCCTCATTATGATTTTTGTTCAACATTACTTCCGTTCTGATTCGATATGATGATTACTCAATGTAGTGTTTGTTTTGTTTCCCCCTATGACATTCTATTCTGTATAACATACAATATTCTTGTATTAAGTTAACATAAACTATATTCAGTATATGATTTGTTATAACTAAGTATTTTTCATATATGTGATTTTATTCTAATTGTTAATCAAAAATGGGTGTACAAATGAGTGTATGTCCAACTAGACTTGTTGTGGTTGTTCGTGCTTCTGGATGCTTGCGGAATATATTTCTCTCTTCGAACTTAGACTTCTCTCTAGTTAGCTGGGCTGGGACGTGACGGAGTAGCTAGCTTATCTGTCATTGTGTCACAGAATCTTCGTTCTGTTCTCAGATTAGGTGAACTCGTAATCTCTTCAAACATAACAACATCTCTGTTTACATTGATAATACGTTCCTTGCAAAACTACAGTCTTCTTTGTACTGAACATCTTATAAAGAAACCTTGGTTTCATCATGTGGTAATTGAACGTTTAATACAAATATTTCAAGTAAGCTATCTATGTATTCATTTAAAAGTTTCATGTTTATTTTGTTTCATTGATCGAACAGGATATATTAATTCAAAAATAGATGTTCTGTCAAATTCTTAATACTGGAATAGAAAATCTAAATAACACTGACCATGTTCTATAGTGCCTTTGTAAAATAACTTGACAGTTTCAAGTGTTTATTATGACTGTTGAGTAATGAACACGTATTATACATTTACCAACTGTTTTCTTTGTTGAAGTAATAAAATTACAAGCCTTTATTCTGGACTAAATTGTTGATTACGTGTGCACTGACTGGAGACCAAACTCAAAAATCATTTTTCTTCCTACATGAAGCAGAAAATCCTAATTAGTTTGTATTTCTTTGTTCTTCTAGTAAACTGCATCCATTAACTTAAAATATTCAAACATTATCAACATTATCAACTAGCCATGTTTAATGTTTAATTGATGTTTGTATCTTGTTCGAAGAAATGATGTGCTCAGACAAGTTAATTTCAATTAAATACCTGAATATGTATGGTAATGTTCTTATGAAACAGCATAAGAAGTTAGATGAAATCACTGAGCCACATTCTGTTGTCATTACATTGATGACAGTAACAATGTAAATTAATTCATCTAACTTGTGTACATTTATGATTCATGCACCAGATGTAAAGGCTGGTTATACTATCTGGCTGGCAATGTCGATGAGGTAAGAGCATAACTGAAACTGTAACCTAATGATTTAAACCTGTGTATTAACCACTCTAACATTATCTAGCCTTTCTGATAATGGACAATTACAGTATCAAAAATGTATTGATTATGTTAATATGTTAAACGTTAATGACATTAGCTTATCTCATATAAAAACAACATCAATTAGTTTTAAATTCTTATTGCTATACACTTAGAATTAAACAGGAAATATCAAACTGTTTGATGTTCTCTCTCGAAGAAGGTGTATAGTTCACTAAAATATCTTGTTATGAATTCCTGTCATTAAATTTAAAATCATTGAAAACGTATGCACATACGTCTGTAGACCGTATTGGCTTGAACTAATGTCTTTTGAACCGAGGAAACTATAGGAACTCGAGATCCAAATGGAAAATGTTTTGGCATATAATAAAATTGTATAAGGACTTAAAACAATGGAACGCTATTTCTAAATGAAGTCTCAAAATTGAAAGAAATGAGATTTAGCAAATATGCGATAACATTTATTAGGCATGCTAATAAAGCTTCAATATGAGATTTTATGTTGTTAGAGTGCTTTGATCCTAATACTTCCGTTTAGGCTGGCTTCCCTATCATTCTGATGATATAGAAATATAATCCACTTAGGTTCTTAGTATGTGTGTGTATGCACCACAGAATATAGCTATTATTCAAATTGCAGTCCTTAGTTCTGATAAAAAAGCCCAGTTTAAGGAAAAATCACCCTCTTGCAGGTTACAAAATCATTAACCATGCTAGTAGACATATACGTAAAAGAAATAAACTAACTGAACTGTCTATCATTCGCATACATATGATCATGGATTAGCTAGTGTTCTCCTAGTTTAAATCGTAACTAACGTGAGAACGATCAAATTAAAAAAGAGGTAGTTTTAAATCTAAAAATAGAAACCTTTTAAATTTTTTTATGATTGGCAATCAATGATATTTACGTTCAAGTCTCTTACGTATACATTTTTTTGACTGATACAGCTAGCAACAGGCAAAGGCAAAACTATCCTATAGATATTTACATAATAACGTATTGAAATTTCAAAAAAAGGAGGTTGAAACTAATTTAGAAGAAGGAATTTTTCTCTGCCTCTTTTTAAATCTTAATATCCACAGAGAGGGAAATAAAAATCTAAGTACTTTTACAGATAACTAACAAAAAATCTATATTTGATAACCTTCAAGATATAACTGCTAATCACTCGATAATTTATGTAGAAAATTTAATATAAAGATAAATTTGACAAGTGCTTTACTATTTTAAATAGCATTAAACTTTTAAGATCTTATAAAGGTGGTTTTATTTGCTACAATTAAGGTTTAATAATTTACAAATGATTTGGTATCTATGTCTACTACTACTACTACTACTACTACTACTACTACTACTACTACTACTACTACCACTACTACTACTACTACTACTACTACTACTACTACTACTACTACTACTACTACTACTACTACTACTACTACTACTACTACTACTACTACTACTACTACTACTACTACTACTACTATTGTTCATAATAGTACTGGCAGTAATTTTCGTTTTTTCATCTTCCAATGTTATTTTTAACAGTTGTCTGCCTTTTATTTGACCCGTAGTCAGAACCATCGGTCTAACGTACGAACTCATGACCGTGATTTAATCTATGAAAATTTAACGATCTCTAAAGAAAGCCCTTTTGCGTAATTAGTAATTATCACTGTGCTTACTTATTGACGATTTTGAAATAGTTACTTGCTCAGTTTATTGTTTCACACGGTTAAGTCACTATCATCTTAATCCTTTGTTTTAGTAAACTAGGGTGAAATACAACTTATGAGAAAGATGTGATTTTCGATATTAGATACAAAATTGGATTAAACAACTACTGTATTGTGTAATGTAAATAGTATATTTAAAACCCAATAACAATGTGACATCACTGATAAATAGATTAGTGCTTTTTATTTTGAAAAAATCCAAATTTTTTTATTCATTTGAGTCTTATACTCGATGGACAATGGAATCTGTTTGTATAGTATGAGCAAAATGTTAAACTAGATTTTCTTCTTAAGTTATTAACTACATCATAACAACAATGATACATGAGTAGATATTCTCTTACTTACTGTACTTTATGACGTCTGACAAATAATTTCTCTCATCGGTTATGTATTTTATATACATCAAACAAGAGAAACCAATTTTCATTTCAATTTTAGCTATAAAGAAGTTATTATCAGAATGTGTTTTGTGGAGATTTTTAGAAATTTTCACAGATTGAAATCATGAGTCAGTTGAAGCTAGACCACCATTGAAAACCTGGAAGCACTGGACGGCCGCCTCGTCCTGGTATGGGACTCCTCAGCAGTGCGCATCCACGAACCCGCACCACGCAGGGCTCGAACCCAGGACCTACTGGCTTCGCGCGCGAGCACTTAACCATTAGACCACTGAGATGGCCGGCATGCAACGGTGTTAATGTCTAACTTCAACCAATCCATGAAGTTGCGCCACCATACACCGTTGTCTTCAGTGAGGTGATATCTCACAACAGACCTGGTTGAACTCCAGTGGTAACGACTTCTCACTAGAACTCCAGAAGTGTCTCCTGAAGTCAGTCACTATTGAGCAGGTGATTATTATTATCAGAATGTGTTTTGTGGAGATTTTTAGAAATTTTCACAGATTGAGTATAAAGAAGTTGTTGTGGATGCGGAGGAATAGACCAATAATTATCATGTTAAGTTCAATGGTGTCCTTGGACTTTAAATGGACATTTCCTATTGGTCGATATCTGTTCACTTGTTGAATATTGTACAAAATGTTGTTTCCTATTTTATGGTACGATGTGGTTTGTTTGGTTGGTATATAAATAGAGTATGTCTGAAATACAATGATTCATAACTCAGAGGCTGTGACTTGTGTTCTTGACTCAACTGGCTAGGACAGACAGCGAAGCAGGGCCAGTCAGGGCACTAGGTCGTTCGCTACGTGTTTTACGTGTCACTGTCCACTGTAATCGATCAATAAAACGCTGCTTATCAAAAACCTGCAGTCACCCGTTACAACAATTGGCGACGGGGATGGGAAGTGTATTCATATTCTAGATGGATAAGGTATAAAAAACGGATTCCTGGTGAATGGTATGCCACTTTAAACCATTTACCTACTAACCCTTAAACATTTAATAAACTTATTATTATGCAGCTGTATGGAATAGTCACTGAAGCATGGACAGACGTGAATAATCTTTGGTGAATTTAGTGGTCATTATAGTGAACCGACTAATTATGTATAATATAGTCCTATATTACATTATCGAAATTCGTTTAATGTTTATTGTTCCATTGGTAAATAAATAATTAAAGCGAAATCATTTAATAATCATGGAAAACTAGTCAAAGTGGCATTTCCATCGTTTAGGGTTACTTAGTATAAACTATTCAATAATTCACATAATACCAACCAATCTCAATTTAATTTGTAATGTAGATGTCAATGTCAAGGTTGGACTTGATAATTGGGTACACAGTTAATAATAAATATATTTTCGTTATATCCCGATGAGTAGAAAAAAACTATATTTCTGACGTTTCGTTGCTTAATGTAGGCCGCTTCTTTAGAGTAAATGAATAACCGAACTCGGTTATCTAGTTTCTACTCATTAGGATAAAACAAAATTATATTTATTTATGAATTTTGATTACCCCGTTGTTGATATTCTGACTGAGATTAGATCAGTCTTATTTGGTATATGTTCATCCTGTGCAGATTGTCTCAATATAGCTATTATGCATACAGTCACATCCGATTGACGAGTAATAAATAGGCATAAGTGAGTACTCTGTACTCTACTGCTTGTCTTTTTACGTCTATCCTGTGTAAACCAACCAACTTCGTTTTCTTCTCTTATTGTACTACACACACAACTTTCAGTAAATAACAAGTAATAGTTTCATCTATAACTGTAGTCTTTCAACATTATATATGTCCTAAACATTTCAACCATCTCTTGTAATTATCTATGAACATTACTTCATATGGAAAATAGCCTACTTGATAATGGTTTATTATTAGTGTTTTTTATGTTTCGGTTCACTATTCATTTTCTACAACTGTAAAATAGTTCATCACGACTAGTGGATATGAAAACAAAGGCGAAATAAGCATTTACGCAATCATATCACCTAGGATACAGGCTATAAATCTACCAACTTAACAAAACGAGTGTATTCTTCTCAAAAGTTTCTTTTGTTTTTTAGGTCAAAATGGTACAAAATAAATTATTCATTATTAAATATTGAACCGTGTACTACTTCATACCTGATTATTATTTTCTTTTAATCCATATGTTCAAGTTTAGTTTTGTAATCATCACTGCATATATTTCCAGTGTTTTAGGCATGATTCTGATAAACAGAAATTATCTATAAGCAAAGATGGATAGTGGCTAGCAGTGGAACCCAGGACGCGCGTTCCGTTCTATTTGAGACTCATCAGCTGGACGTACCTGCATCTAAGAGTTGATGTTCACTCTGGGAAGATTCAAGCAAAACAATACTAAGTGAATTATAAACTATCTATGACTGAAAAAGATAAATTCAGTTTCAGTCAAAGAAGTTAGTCATAATCCACTTCAATTCCAGTTGTAAAAAATAACCTAATTTGAATCTCTGCTATAAAATAGAAATAAGATTTAAGTCATTATGAATTCGCCTACATCTACGAACAATGATTTTAATAGCTCAGCTAATATTTATGTTTACAAAAGACTATTATAGAGTAAAACCTGCTATTTAAGAAGCTAGAAAAGTCAAATAAGTACCATATTTTATCGGTATTAATCAATTGGAAAAGTCCAAATAGCTAAATCCATAGACTAAAAGACTATAACATATACTTACTTACTTACGCCTGTTACTCCTAATGGAGCATAGGCCGCCGACCAGAATTCTCCAACCCACTCTGTCCTAGGCCCTCTTTTCTAGTTCTATCCAATTGTTGTTTATTCTTCTCATGTCTGTTTCCATTTCTCGGAGTAATATGTTCTTTGGTCTTCCTCTCCTCCTTTGGCCTTGAGAATTCCAAGCGAGGGCTTGCCCTGTGATGCAGTTGTGTGCTTCCCTCAAAGTGTGATCTATCCACCTCCAGCTCTTTTTCCTGATTTCTTCCTCCACTGGAATCTGGTTTGTTCTCTCCCACTATAACATGTAATACATAGTAAACCTCAATATGTGCTTAAGTAAGAAATTATTAATATAAATCTGGTCAACAAATTTGTTATTGATAAAATACAGTTAATGAATGTTAAAAAATGTTGAATTAGTCAAACATTATCTTACAATTAAGGTAATATACAAATACCACAAACCATCTATTGATCTTATTCATACACAGAAAATATACAAATTAATTTCACTACAAAAAACACTTTCAATTTTTATATTTTCCCCGTACATAACAAATCCCATACTAAACTTATAGTAAAAGTGTTATTATTATGAAACAAAAGTTCCATTTTCATGACAAATCAATATTTTATTATCCGAATGGAATTCGTGAAGATTGTAGTAATTTTCATAACTGAATTCATGGGTCGATATAAGCTAGACGGTCGTTTCTTCCTAGTACGGGATCATTGATGCGCACTGCTGAAGAGTCCCATACTAGGACGAAACAATCATCCAGTTCTTTCAGGTTTTCAATAGTGTTCTAGCTTACATCGACTCATAAGTTTAACTATTAAAATCAAAATTTATCACTTAAGATTGATTTTTTTTTTCTAAAATGGATTTAAAAAACGTAATCATACACATAATATATTAGACCAAATTGCCATTACACATGAAGTGTTCTTTTTAAACTACACAGTTTATAATTATGCACTTTTGACTAAATACATATTTTTATTGTATCCCATAAATTTTTTTTAAAACGTCTACACGTACAGGAAAATCAGTCTCTAAATGTTTTCTACGCTTATCTATTTCTATAAAAAGTGTTTGTGTATAAACGTGTGTATGAAAAAAGGATATTAAAATACAGTTACAGACAGACGTATAGAAAGAAGAATAAAGCTTGTGTATCAGTACAAGTTCCCACATATATTTAACGTCATTGCGTGAAAGTTAAACCAATGAAACGATATTACTACGTAGTCTATTCAATAAATTTACGCTAATTGAGGTCTTGTTATTCATTACTTTTATTCGAAAAAAAAAATGATGTGAGACGTCAGATTTCGGTCACTTAAGATTTCTCTTGGTTCCAAGTTTTATACTTCATCCCTTGTTATATGATTCAAGTTGATATCGTAATCGAAAAATCATGATATATCATTTTTACTCAAGCTCCATTAACTTCAAAATGATACTTACATTTAAGTTTCTCTAGTAATCCACTAGAATAGATGATTTCCTTAAAAAACTTAGGTCACTGGTAAATATCTGGAGAATGGATATTTGATGAGAAAGTTTCTTAGATGTCTTTCAAAACAGATGATTAACAATCGTATATAACTAACAACTATAATAATTCAGAATGCATATTCATTGCACAGATCATGCGAATAGTTTGCAACGATTATA